TTTAAAAAAATAAAAAATATTATTAATATATTTTTTAAAATAAAAAATATTTTTTAAAATAACCATAACTATTAGAACCAGTGAGAATCCCTCTTCTTCTTATTTTTTTTAATTATTATTATTTCCTACCCATGTTAAGATGATGTAACACTGCCTGCACCAGACAATTTTATTTTTTAAGACCTTTTAAGATATTGATCAACTACCTGTATAATACGCTATAATTAGGTCTTGGTCTTCTTCTATATTACAACAAAAATCTCTCTATTATTAGGAGAAAACACCTCACTTACTATCTCACAAATACCTCACAATTTTGTGGGATTACTCTCTTCTCACCCTCTCTTCTTTCTCTCTTATGGTGTGTATATAATGCTTGGATGCATTACCTATTTATAGGCAAGCATCCATGCAAAAGACAAGGGGTTAGGCAAATAGCACCAATTTGGTGCATACAATTTTTGACTAAGATGGCTACACCTTCTCCCACCATTTTTTACTAAGGTGGAAAAGGATAACTACACCTTCTCCCACCATTTTTGACTAAGGTGGTTAACTTCACAAGAAGTTCTACAGAAAATTATCAGTTGACAGAGCAAGGAAGAACAAGAGAAGAACAGCTAATTATAGATGGCTTAGTGGGAGAGTTTAATAAACCAAATTAAATTTTAATTATGCATGAATCATTTTTCTTTATGTTTCATGTCTCTTTTCAACAGCAGGCACAAGCGAAATCTTAATAAAACTTCATATCTGCAGATTCAACAAAGAACAAGAAATCATACTAGATGTAAACCTCCAAAACACAAATATTATTGTTTACATCTTAAGCGGCCAACCAATAACTTAATGAGCAAGTGGTCTAATGCTCTAAAACGAATCTTGAAAATTCAACTCCTTCAAAATTAACACGGGGCTTATGCTGACTGATTATATGTTAACCTTGTTTGGCTCCTTCATTAATTAGTACTTCAGTGGGGGGCAGAATGGCTCTTTCTGTTGGCTCTCGAATTTTAAAACACCCAATCAGAATATCAACGCATGCACTTCCACGAAGGCAATGACTGATTCTGAATATAATAAAGCAGGATTAGGAGCTAATTTGCTTGCAAAGGCTTAATTAGGATTAGGTCCCGGATTAAAAGTTGTGGTCAGAAAACCGAAAGCTATGCAGAATCACTCCAAACTAGATTCGAAGTACCGTTTCCTTCCATCCTTGCACTGGTCTGACCTGTCAAGGCCGTAATCGATCTAGCACAGTCAATTTCATATATGATAGCTCAACTTATCTATAGCCTTCTAAATCAATCATCAATGTTTCTTGGCTGGAAGCTACTCATAATATCGAGTTTGTAGGCATTGTCATTGATGTTTTACTGCACCACCTCACAAGAACCAATCTTTCTATATCGAAGCTTGCTGTACTCCCTCACATGAGACCGATCATGAGTGAGCGCTGCATATACCAAGTCACCAGCCTCAAAAGTGACCTTCTTGTGATGACTATCTACCTGGGTTTTTTATTTAGCATTGTATATAGTGAGGAATTGTTTGCTCGAGCTAATCAATACGAGAGGAATAGGAGGCAACTCAAGTACATCGTACATAATTTCAAAAGGACTCAGCTCAGTAGTTTGATTTCTGGATCTATTACATGTGAACTTAGCTTGTGACAAGGCAAGGTCCCACTAATTTACCCTAATTCCGCAATATATTCTTTAAATTTTGATTTACCTTTTCTGTTTGTCCATCTATTAAATGATGGTAAGTACGATTGAAATTCAGCTTAATTCCCGTTTTCCCTCACAAACTATTCCAAAAATTGCTCATGAACTACAGAACTAGGTATTCTTGTTAGAGGTAATTGACCCAGGAATCTCCTGTAAATAAACCACCTTACCATTTTTTCCAAGAATAAGAATCAGTGCAATTTCCCAATGTAATTTTATAGGGGTATTTGGGAGTGCTTTTCAACATCACTTTAAAAAAAATATATTTTAAATTAATATAAAACACCAACACCATAGCAATTATAAGACAAACACCAAGCAGCTTACCTTAGGTAGGGCGTACTAGGGGTGCTAACACCTTCCCTTTACGCAACCAGTCCCTTTCCTTAGAATCTCTGAAAGACCAGTTAGGTTTCCTAGTGACCATAATACTAGGTGGCGACTCTCTTTTAGACAAAAATAAAACTAAGAGACCCCGAAATCAATCGACGGTCGCCGCGACGCCGCGCTCCGCACGCGAGGGTGCGACACATCTATCCATACAGATGCATCAAGTCTATTCGTCTCCACATGTTTGATTCGTATCCATACAGATGCATCGAGTCTATTCGTCTCCACATGTTTGATTCGTAACTGGGTCTTCTTCTCAACAAAATGTTAGAGTTGCTTGCAAGAGTTTGATATTAGGAGCTTCTTGTAACACCAAACATGGAAGGGAACAATCAACTCATAGCTTACTTTGTGTAAAAAAACAAAAAACAAAAATGGACACTTCTCCTCTCAACAAATTGGTGGATTGTGCTAAGGCCATTGAAGGGGGTAACCTGAATGATGCAGATTTGCTCTTGAAGGAGATCATAGCTTCCAACGAATCCTTATCAAGAGCAACAAAATCACTCGTCAAGTACTATGCTGAAGCTCTGGTTCGGCGACTCTATAAACTTTATCCTCGGAATCTTACACCGTTAATACCTTCCGGCACGGATCAGCTTCCCGAAACAGACTACCCATTTTCTCCCTTCTTCTGCTTCGGTGATTTTACAACCCTCGACCCCGTGAGGATGCCATAAAAGGAAAGCGAAGAGTCCACATTATTGAGTTCGGAATTGTGGTAAGTTTCTGGCGGTACTATGATTTGTTTCGTGATGTCACCAGGCAGTCAACAGGCCCGATATCGTTCCGCTTGACGTTTGTCGGACCAGTTCTGTCCATAGCTGCTGACCATACCCAAAAGACACTTGAGAGACTTCACGGAGAAGCCGAAAGGTTTGCTATTGACTTTGAAGTGAGACATTTGGTTGCTAATAGTGCTGCTGATATTGTTGATTCTGTTCTCAAACTCACAAGAGCAAGTGGGGATGAGACGATTGTCGTGAAATGGAAATTTCAACTCCACAAACTGCTCACACTAACAGGTGCAAGCGAGAAGGTTTTGTCAAAATTGAGAGAACTGAAACCAGAGATCATGATAATTGTTGAGCAAGAAGCAAGCCATAATGGTCAAAATCTCTTGGACTGTTTCAGCAAGTCATTCCAATATTACTCCATTGTTTTTGACTCCCTGGACAAGGACAACGTAGACATTAACTCGGACGGAGTCCGCCGCAAGGTGTTTTGGGAGATGTCCTTCAGGCGTCAGATCTGTAAATTGGTGGCTCCAGGAGGCACAGACCACATTGAGCGACATGAGACATTCGCTTATTGGCAAGACAGACTACGTCGTTTTGGGTTTCGCCATTATCGCTTCAAGCCCCAATCTTTTAGCAATTTCTGTAGAGAACAAATGCCCGAGTACAGCTGGGAAGAAAAGGATCGGCATCCACAGCTAAGAAGGAAGGGAATCCCCTTGGTTTTCAGCTCAGCTTGGAAACCTGATCCTACTCAGCTCAATAGTGGTGAATAATCTCATTAGCATAATTAGCATATTTTTTTCCAATAATTTTGATCCATCAATTAGTTATTCTAACATGCTGGGGTGAAATCATCATCATATATGCAGGGTCAAATATGGAGTTAGATGAAGAGAATTATTCTAAATTCCATGAAAACCAGCTTGATGATCCTCACATAATGACACAAGAAATTATGTGGTCTGAAAAGGTATCCATTGTATATTTTTCTTTAGTTCAAAAAACTAACAAAAATGAATTAAATAGGATGGTAACAGACACTTGTACATCATTTCGATATAAAGAAACTCCTGAATATAATTAATAATAGAGCGAAAAAAACTTGAAATTGATTGAAAGAAAGAATATTGAAGGGTAAAATGCATTGACAAATTTGTTGTTGGGACACTCAAGCATTTAAACACACAAAAATTTATGTGGTTCGGCAACTTGCCTACTCCACGGAGCTACTAGTTTGTATTAATCACTCAAAGAAACAATATAAACAAAGAACAGGAGAAAACTCTTCTCAACTCAACTCTACACTCAAGTTCTCTCTACTGCTCTCACTCTCTCGGTTTTTCACTCTATATATCATACACATCTTCAGCTTTTTAGCTTTTCTATTTATAGACAAGGTTGGGGAGACATGGGGCATAAATCATGCCATGATTTATGCAACTAATTAATCCTCCATTAATGTCAAGTGGGAGATTAGGTATTCTCACTTGCATATAATAGAGGTGGGACAATGTTTGTCTCCACTAACAATCTCTCACTTGGAGACAAACAATGAAATTATTTTTTATCCTTGAAGACCAACTGAAGTTTTACACAACTTCAATTTATTAAGTGTAACTCCTTTGGTTAACATGTCAGCAAGATTCTTGCTTCCACAGATCTTTTCTAGCAGTAGTTGTTCATCGTCAAGCAATTATCGGATGAAGTGATATTTCATCTGAATATGCTTAGTCCTGGAATGAAATGCTGGATTCTTGGCAAGGAATATTGCACTCTAACTGTTGCTATACAAAGTACCCTTTCCATTCATCTTGCCCAATTCTTTCAGGAAATTTTATAGCTATACTATCTCTTTTACAGATTCTGAGACTGCAACATGTTCTGCTTCTGTCATTGAAAAAGCGACTATCTTTTACAAGGTAGAACTCCAAGAAACAGTAGTGCCTCCTATAGTGTATATATATCTTGTAGTACTTTTTCTGCTATCAACATTTTCTACTATATCAGCGTCTACAAAATCTTCAAGTTTCAAATCACTAGTTATAAAGGTAAGACATATCTCCGATGAACCTTTTAAGTACCTCATGATCCATTTTACCGCCTCCCAATGCTGCTTTTCAGGATTGCTCATATATCGACTTACAACTTCCACTACATGAGCAATGTCTAGTCTGGTACAAACTATAGCATACATCAGATAGTCAATAGCTAAGGCGTATGGAATCTTATCCATGTATTCGTATTCTAGTTTAGTTTTTGGTGACCGGTCTCTGTTGAGCTTGAAATGATTCTCCAGAGCTGTACTTACTAGTTTAGCATTATTCATACTAAACCTGTTGAGAACCTTCTTGACATACTCTGTTTGTGAAAGCTTTAGTATGCCTTTGTCTTTATCTCTGATGATTCTCATGCCAAGTATTTGTTTAGCAGCTCTTAGATCCTTCATTTCAAACTGTTTTGACAACTGTCGTTTCAACTTGTCAATCTCTTCCATACTGGATCCTGCAATCAACATACCACATACAACAATAGAGTGATATAGGAGTTATCAAAATATTTGACATAGCAACAATGATTAGCCTGGCATCTTGTGTATCCCGAACTATACATGAAGTTGTGAAACTTCTTGTACAATTGTCTTGGAGCTTGCTTCAAACTATATAGGCTTTTCTTTAGCTTGCAGACTTGGTTCTGCTTTCCTTGTATTGCAAACCCCTCTGGTTGTTGCATGTAAATGTCTTCCTCCAATTCACCATGAAACAATGTTGTTTTTACATCTAATTGTTCAAGATGTAAATTTTCTACAGCTACTATCCCTAGAAAAACTTTGATTGTTGTGAGCTTTATAACTAGAGAAAATATCTCAGAGTAGTCAATCCCTTTCTTTTGTTGAAACCCTTTTACAACAAGTCTTGCCTTGAACTATTTGCTTCTATCATGCTTAGTCTTTACTTTGTAAACCCACTTGTTTTGCAAAGCTTTCTTTCCTTCAAGTAGTGTGGTTAGCTCCCAAGTCTTGTTCTTCAACAACGACTCCATCTCGTCCTTCATAGCTAACTCCCACTTGCTCGAGTTTCTATCTTGTAAGGATTCTTTAAAAGTTAATGGCTCACCATCATCTGTCAGCAAAATATAATTCAGTAGAAGTGTGAATCATTATGGAGGCTTTACAATCCTTGAAGACCTGCAAACATAAACAACTAGTTCACTTGGCTCCGCATCTTTTTGTGTAGTAGTGGGTATAGATGTGTTTGAATCTTCTTGTGAAGACTCTTGAGTTTTGTTCTGCTCAGTAACATCAGGAAGCCCTTCTAATCTGATGAATTCAGACTTTTATGGACTTGTATCTAAATCAGTCATATTTGTTTCTGTACTTGATCTATTTTTATACAAAACTTTCTCGTTGAAAATCACGTTCCTACTTCTGATAATCTTTCTGTTCTGATCATTCCAGAACCAAAATCCAAATTCTTCATCTCCATAGCCAATGAAGAAACAATTATTGGATTTGGCATTTAGCTTGTTACGAGCATCAAAATCTATATGCACATACGAAACATACCCAAAGACCTTTAAATGAGAGAGTTATACTTCTTTTCCTCTCTATACTTTCTCGGGTAGTTTGAATTCCAAAGGAACTGATGGTCCATGGTTGATCAAGTAAACTGCAGTGTGAACTGTATTAGCCCAAAAGGTTTGAGGTAACCCAGAATGTAACCTCATGCTTCTAGCTCATTCATTGATGGTCCTGTTCATCCGTTCAGCAATGTCATTCTGTTGTGGTGTACTTGGAACGGTCTTTTCCATTCTGATACCTTTGACAACACAATACTCTTTAAAACCTTCATCAATGTGTTCTCCTCCATTATCAAATCTTAAGTATTTCAACTTCAGACCTGATTCAGTCTCAACCATAGCCTTCCATTTCTTGAATGTTTCAAACACATCAGATTTATTTTTCAAAAAGTAGACCCATATCTTCTTGCTGAAGTCATCAATCAAAGTCACATAATACCGAGAACCTCTAAGAGATGCTACTGAAGTCGGTCCCTATAAATCTGTGTGTACCAGTTTTAGCTTTCTTGGTCTTAAGGTCCTCTCAACCTTTAAGAAACTGAGCTTCTTTTTTTTTTTCGAGAACACAGCTTTCACAAATGTCTAGATCAATATTTTTTAACTCTTGTAGCTTTCCCTTTAACTAAAGTATCTTCATCGCCTTTTGACTCATATGGCCAAGTCTATAGTTCTATAACTGTGCTTGATTTTCTACTTCAGTAGAGGCAATAATATCTCCAGATCTTGTGGTCATATACAGGGTGCAATTTTCTTTCCACAAGCCAAAACATTGCTCCCTTTGATACCTTCCACATACCTTCAAAAAAAAAAATTGAATGACCATTATCATCAAGTTGTCTGATTGAGATCAATTTCTTCTTTAGTCCAAGAACATGCCTTACATTTTACAAGTTCCATATAGATCCATTCATTATCTTGATTTGCACATCTCTTATACCCACAATATCCATTGGTTGTCCATCGGCCAGATAGATTACACCGTGATCTCTAGTAACATAGTTTTGCATCATTTCATGGTGTGGTGTACAGTGGAATGAAGCACCAGAATCAAGAATCCAATCATCAAGTGGACTTTGTACAGAAAGAATTAAAGCATCTTATACCTCATCTAGAATGACGTTTACAGGGTTAGCTTCAGGTTTTTTTGGTTTTGTGCAATTCCTCATAAAATGACCAGGTTTGCCACAATTCCAACATTCAACCTGCTTTCTGGTTCTAAATTTGCTTTTACTTCTGTACCTTGATTTTGATATGCTCTTGGATAAGCCTCTATCCTGTCTCCTTCTTCGAGTGTTGATGTTGAGAGTTGAATCTGAACTTGAGCTTTCACCTGAGTCTTTCCTTTGTATTTCTTCAACTAAAATCAAGTATCGGATGTCATCATATTTCAGTTTGGATTTTGCGGCCGAGTTGTTTACGCCTATTCTCATACCTTCCCAACTGCTTGGAAGTGAAACTAGCAAAATGAGTGTATGGATCTCATCATCAAACTCAATCTCAATAGATGATAATTAATTCATGATGGTATTAAAGTTGTTGAGATGCTGTGTAATAGAGGTGTTTTCTATCATCTTCAAGTTAAACAACTTCTTCACTAAGTGCACTTTGTTATTTGCTAAGGGCTTCTCATACATCCCAGACAAGGCTTCCATCAATCTTGTAGTGGATTTTTCTTTTGTAACATTATAAGCAACTTTTTTTTACAAGGATAGCCGAATAATGCCCAAAACCTGTTTATCAAGAATTTACCAATCTTCTTCTAATATATTTTCTGGTTTGCTCCCCAACAAAGAAAGATGAAGTTTCTTCCCATATAGATAGTCTTCAATTTGCATTTTCCAATATCCAAAATCTGTTCCATCAAATTTTTTCAATTCCAGTAACCTTTATTTCAATTTCCATTTTTAATATATTTCAGATTTGAATCTGCCAAATTTGACCTTACAGATATGTCCGGAATGACTAAAAATATTAGAAACGACACTAAAATCACCCAAATCAGACTTTGGATGGCTCAGATTTTATCAATCAAACTTTTGGATCACTAGACACTGTAGATAAAGCCACGTGTCAGGAGGAATAGTGGTTGCGTTGCACTGGATCAAAACCTATTATGCTGACGTGGCTATGATGACATGTCAGACACGTAAGCAAAATAGGCCCATATATGATGACGTGGTAGATCCACATGGATTTTCTTCCTAGCGTGTCGTTGCTAACGTGGACAGTGACATGTCAGGTGGCGTGGCTGCTGACTATGCAGATTTGCTGTTGTGGCTGTTGACTGTGTGCTGACGTGTCGAGCCAACCTGGTTCAATTGCAGATATTCGGGTGAAGAAGACGCGTGTGGCGCGTCGGTGCGGGTGGGCAGTGTTGTCGTCGGCCCGTGTTGGTGCGTGCGGGCATGCAGGACGTCGGTTCTTCACCGGGGCTGTCGTCGGCCCGTGTTGGTGCGTGCGAGCATGCAGGACGTCAGTTCTTCACCGGCTTTCACTAGTGGATTCTTCTTGTCTTTCTCTACACGATGGTATGTTCAAAAACACATTTTGAGAACTTTGATTTTTGAGTTTGGATCAAACACCCTCTTTTTCAAGAACAAGCTCTGATAATAGTTGTTGGGACTTTCAAGCATTCAAACACATAAAAATTTACATGGTTCGGCAACTTGCCTACTCCACGGAGCTACTGATTTGTATTAATCACTTAAAGAAACAATACAAACAAAGAGGAAGAGAAAATTCTTCTCAACTTAACTCTACACTCAAATTTTCTCTACTGCTCTCACTCTCTCGGTTTTTCACTCTGTATATCACACACATCTTCAGCTCTTTAGCTTGTCTATTTATAGACAAGGTTAGGGAGATATGGGGCATAAATCATGCCATGATTTATGCTACCAATTAATCCTTTATTAGTGCCAAGTGGGAGATTAGATATAATGGAGGTGGGATAATGTTTGTCTTCACTGACACTTGTCACATTCCATGCATGAAGATTTAGTTTTAATGTGATTGTATTATTTTGTTTTCTACAGTGCTTCTCAATCAATCAAATTGCTGCTTCAGTTGAGATATATGACATTTTGGAATATACATGTAATGTACATAATCTACCTCTGGCTCTCACATGGATTTCAGATAGGAGAGACTGTAATGTAAATTCAAATGGGAAACTTCGAATAGTTGAAAGTGCTTGCTATCTGAATGACATAACAATGGAAGGGTTTGTGGAGGCATGTGGACAACACCATCTTGAGGAAGGACAAGGTGTAGCTGGAAAAGCACTTCAATTAAATGGCATGTACTTTATCCCTGATGTTTCCGAGCTTAGTGCAGATGCTTATCCATTTGTTTGTGATGCCTGGGAATTTGGCCTTCACGCTGCTGTCTCATTCAAGCTAGAAAACATTCACATGAGCAGAGTTGATCACGTTTTAGAATTTTTTCTCCCAACAGAAACAAAGGATGTTTCAGAACATAAACTTTTGATAGATGGGATCTCTTCTATCCTGCAGAAGAACTGTAGGAATTCATGGGTAATTTCTGGCATGGAATTATCTGAGGATAACATGGACTCTGTAGTTAGATCTGAAGGGGCTATTTCTGACCGCTCTCTACCAGCATCATTAGACAATGGTAGTTTCAATACAAATGGTATGATCATAGCTAGCGATGCGGTGAACGCAACTGACCATGGAATAGAAATTGGTGTTGAAGCTCATGAACAGGTGATTTTCTTAATTGATTGTCTCTCTGTCGTAATATTCTTGATGACGCATTTGAGTTGTGGCTGTCAGTAAACGCCATGGCGTCTTGCATGTTCAGAGTCTTAATTAAGTTGCTTTGCTTTCTCGGCATAATAGTACATATTTCCTTTCCTTCGTCTATAATATCTTTATATGATCAGAAACATCATCGATCCATATATTTAATTTTTAATATGATAAAAAAAATCATGCATGTATTCACTTAACAAATCGACTTTTTTGTCGACAATCCTCTTACAAGTAATCAATTAAATATCTTTACTCCGCTCTTGGTCTTCTCTTAATAGGATGTGGGAGACCAAAATTCTACTTTTGAAGCAGCTTCAACTGGAATCACGTCTATCTTGCAACAGAAATCTAGGAATTCATGGAAAGATTTCTCTGAACAATTAAGTGGGGCTAATTTTAGCTCTGAAGTTAGGATAGAGAATTTCGAGACAAGTGACGTCAGACCAGCGGGTATTTCAGACAGCTATTACAGCTTGAATTCAAGTGAAGTCAGGAAATTCTGCAATATTTCTAACCCAACAAGTGATGGTGTGGAAGTACAGGAGGCTCATGACCAGGTACATACTCAGCAACAAATCTTTCAATTTTGTATGTATTTAATTTTTAATATGATGCATACATTTACTCTTCTTCAGCTTAACAAATCGACTTTCATTACGACAGTTCTCTTACATGCAGTCGATTAGATATCTTTACTCAGCTTAGTTTTCTAATAATAGGAAATGGGAGAACAAAATTCTACATGTGGAGCAGCTTCAAATGAAATCACCTCTACCTTGCAAAAGAACCCCTGGAAATCATGGAAAGACCATTCCAGTGAATTCATGGAATTATGCAATATTTCTAACCCAGCAAGTGATGGTGAGGAAGTACAGGAGGCTCGTGACCAGGTAGGTGCTCATTTGCCGTTCTTGCAGCGCTGATTGGTTTTCATGTGGTCAATGTCTTACTGCTTGGCTATCAACTGACAGGAAGTCGAGGAACAAGAATTTGCATTTGTACCAGAAGCTCCAAGCCCTGATAACGAGGAGGGCGGCAGGGGTACTTCTCGTTTGAATGCAAGCGCTAGAAACAAACGAAGGAGGACATCAGAGGTGTGGCAATACTTTGAAGAAGTTAGAGAAAATGGAGAAATTTTGGCCAAATGCAAAAGTTGTAGTACTAGATACAGAGGGGAAAGCACAAGGGGAACTACAAATCTGCACAAACACCTAAAATCATGTGCAGGAAAGAAATAAAAAGGCTGAAACAGAACTATCCTTCGCCTTTAAAACTTAACAAGTCCATGTATTTGAAGAAACATAGTTTGTTTTCAACTTTTGACCTGATATTGAAGTTGTGGTCGATGAGTCCTATCAAATGTTCCTCAGGAATTGAAGTCGTCAATGCAATATTTAGCATCCTCTGCTGCTAGTGAAGTAATGAGATTTCCTGATAGTGAAGTTCCTTATCCAGTTTTATTGAATTTCTTCTTCGATTTCTTACCTCCAATTGTGCCATACTAACACTTTCTCGCTAATAAATCATTTAGAACATAGAAAATCAAGATTCCTATTCGGAAATACTTTTCTAATTTACATGTGTTCTAGTTTTATTCATATTTAATACAACTTAGGACCGACGAAGTTATGACAGTTTCGCAGAGCATAAAATGTAACAGAGTCTGATCACACTAAATTTGAACACGAGGAATATTACATTTCAGAATACCAAATACAACCACCTAGAGGCAATTGCAGATCGCAATAGCGATCAAGGAAATGATATAGACTGCCCATATAGCACATTTGATGCCAAGAGGAAATGGAATTGCTATGGCGAAGAAAAACGTTGTGGCTGAGAGGAAGAATGCAACTTTTTCCAACACTTGTACATCATTTCGATACAAAAATGAATTAAATAGCATTGACAAGGATTTTTATGGGTTGCATTTTCAATAAAAATCCTTTTCAATAAAAATCCTTGTCAATGCAACCCATAAAAATACAACCATGGTTGCATTGACAAGGATTTTTATGGTATTATCACCCTATTTTGCTAGTAGAGTAGCATCACCCTATTTTGGTCCAAAATAATAGCCGTTTGCATTGATTTGATGAAGGAATAAAAGAGTAGCATTTAACTAAATATTTCTACAAAGGCTACTAATTGAATTCTGTATATTCCAGAAAAACTTGTTTTACCAAGGCAAAAATGATGTGTGTACACTTTTTTCTCACTAAACAAGGGAGTTTTTGAAGGAGTTGAATTTTCAAGATTCGTATTAGAGTATTAGATCACTTGCTCATTAATCATTGGTTGGTTAAGATGTAAACAATAATATTTGTGTCTTAGAGGTTTACATCCAGTATGATTTCGTGTTCTTTGTTGAATCTGCAGATATATAGTTTTATTGATATTTCTCCCACTAATTAAGCCATCTATAATTTAGATCTCTTCTGCAAATTAAGTCCAATCAATGTCTTGAAAAGCCAAGAATATAGAGTTCAGTAAGTTAACTTCTCATATTACGAGAATCAGTAAAAAAATCAGTAGAGATATAAATCTTGGGATCTGTTGGAATAATAAAGGGATTGATTTTTTATTAATTTTCGTTCGATCTTCATGTATCATTCATTATAAATATTATTTTTTATAGCAATACCATATACAGTCATTCATTTTAGCTTCTTCGTCCGTAGAGTGGGCTAGATGAACCGCGATAATTACTTGTCTTTCCACTATTTGTTCATCAGTCCTGATGTCAAGTTTCAGAACCTGTTCTTGAGTGAACCTGGAATCAAAGATTATTTACCTTCGACCACAGCTATTGTCCTGCGCACTTCAATAGGAGTTTTAATAAGGTGAGCCAGTTCTTCTTCTCTTGTTTTCCTTGCTCTCTCAACTGATCATAATTTTCTATGGACTTTCTTCATTACAAAAGTGCAGATATAGAAAGAGAGCCAGCCATATATAATAATGGGTGCCGTAGAATCTTCATATCATTTGTTTTTCGTGCACTCTGTGCTTATCAATTCTGTATAAAATTATGCAACTCAAGTTTATGGTTTCCCATCATAAAGAAGAAAAAAAGAAGTTAAAATCTATCGATCCCATTATTTATTTTTTCATGATCAGAACGAAGTTATTAATAGATAGCAAAGAGAAAAAACAGTCTAGTTCATGACTTGGTGTTTGTTTGGATTGGTGAGTTCAAGATGAACTTCATCTTTCTTGTGGCGCTGCAATGAACTTTATCTTTATGAAACAAGAAAAATCAGATGAGAAGAAAGAAGAAAGTGGGAGGGAATATAAAAGAAGATGAAACGTTGATGTTTCTTGAGTTCATGACTTGTTTTGTAGGTGCAGTCTAGTACTGTGCAGCAGCCTTGAGAACACCATAATAATCTAGAGCTTTTCAGCATCCTCATCGACCTCAAATATTGAAGAACTCTTACAACTCAGATTTGTTTCCATTATTTATTTGTAGATAAGATCCCCTTGGAACAGTCTAAGTTGACCATTTCCTTGTCAGCATTAGTTTCCAGTTAAGAGACAACCAAGAAAGACAAAATTTACTACATCAAGGTTTAATCTGGGCTCAATTATAGGATAAATTTGCTGCTAAGAAAGGCACCTTTTCATCAGTCTCATGTATTTCCACTAAGTCACAGTTGTTTATACCAACAGATACAGTCTGTCAATATTTGTCGACGTAGTTTAACATTACCGATAAAATCAATGATAGACAGTGTGAATTTCAAATGGTGGGTATTAATACATCTTTGATTGCATGCCATTACCAATGAAATCACTGATGAACTACAAAAAAATATAGAGAGTAATTAAAAAATTCTGTTGTGAAATTCAAAATTTACTAATAAATTTCACTTAAATATAAGGGAAAGGGAAACAATGTATCTCACTTCAATTCACATCATTATTGAAGAGGATGATAATAATGAATTTCACATCAACGAAGATGTTGAGGAGGCTTTGACAGCATTTGAATTAGAAAATAAGCACATAGTGGATGGACTTAAAGAGATTAACTTAGACATTATTGAAAACCCATACTCAACATTCATCAATGAAGACTTATTACTAAAAGAGAAAAGAAGATGACATGGAGCATTGAGATATCTTTACTTGGTCCTATGATAAAATGTTATTTTTAGACCTCGGGGTTGTTGCCCATTAATTAGCAATATAAAAGTGGGTTAGACTGGTAAAACAAACTAATCCTCGCTTTCATTTTAAACTCTTCTCACAAATTGAGATTCAAATGAACAAACTTATCCAAGTAGTTTTCGTTCGTGTAATTAAGTATTTTACATGGATCTCAAATATCATATTGGAAAAAAAAGAATGGCCAGATCCATTTTTGTGTGGATTTTGGAGACCTTAATAATGTTTGTTCCAAAGATGACTTTCTACTTCTAATAACTAAGATCATGATTGATGCTACCACATACCATGAGAAATTAACCATTATAGATGGTTCATCTTGCTATAATCAAATTTGAATAGTGATCGCAGACAAGGAGAAGACAACCTTTTGGACTTAAAAAAAGAGATATTGTTTTAAGATTCATGCCTTTTGGATTAAAGAATGCAGGTGTCACTTATCAAGGGGCAATGCAAAATATTTTTAATAATATGCTTCACCAACATTATGAATGTTACATTGATGAACTTGTTGTAAAGTTAGAAGAAAAAAAATCATTTGGAAGATCTTTGTCTAGCATTTGAATGTGAATTTAGTGTGTCCTCAGGAAAATTATTACAATTTATAGTTCGACATCAAGAAATTGAGATTGACTAGTCTAAAATCGATGTCATCTTAAAAATACCAGAGCCAAGAAACATCCATGAGTTAAAGGGTTTCTAAGAAAAGTTGACCTATATGTGAAGATTCATTTATAACTTAAAGAGTTGATGTTAATCATTCACTCACTTGATGAAGAAGGATACATCATTTTATTGAGATGAAGTTTGCACTATTACTTTAAAAATAATAATTAAAAAATACATTCTTGATCCACCTGTCCTACAAGCATGTCAAGATGTCTAATTATCCTCTTTATAGCAGCTCAAATGCGTTTTTTGGAAGTGTTATTGGCACAATAAAATGATGAAGACAAGGAAAATATTATCTACTATCTTAGTAGGATGTTAAATGAGGTTGAATAGAATTATTCTCTAATAGAGAAAACATGTCTAGCATTAGTATTTGTGATAAATAATTTAATATATTACCTCCAAGTGTATTCAATACAGCTAATCCCTTAAGCCAATTCTCTCAAGTACATCATCTTAAGGCCAGTACTACCAAGAAGATTGGCAAAATGAGCTTCATTGCTTTAAAAATTTGAAACTGTCTGCATCTCATAAAAGGTGATCAAGGCGTAGGCACTAGCTGATTTTCTTATCAACAATCCTATTCTCAATGAATGAAAGTTCTCTAAAAACTTGTTAAATGAGGATGTTTTGTTCATTGAAATGTCAAAACCATGAAAAATATTCTTTGTTAATGCAACACGACAAAATAAAGCTGGAGTTGGGGTAATATATATCACAAATGAAGGAGAGGCCTTGCTGTTTGCCTTATCATTGACTAAATGCTATTCTAATAACATGGCTAAATATCAAGCTTTGATTTATGGGTTGGACATAACAGTGAATATAATGATGCCTCTCCTTAAATTATTTAGAGATTGTCAATTAATCTTTAAACAACTCGTTAGGAAGTTAAAACTCGTTCTATATCACAAGTATGCACTAAAACTAATGATATCACTTGATTGTAACACTTTATAACATGTACCATAGAAAGAAATGAGCAAGTTGATGCCTTAACAAATCTGGGGTCAACATTAGCATCATGGAAATAAAAGTTTTTGTATACCAAAGATGGGTCATTCCACTGGTAATTCATGATGGAGAATAGAAAGAACAAGTGAGTGTGGTTTCTATTTTTTGAGATTAAAAAAGAAAAGACTAATGCTGGCTGCTTATCAATTATTTAAGACATGATAAATTACCTAAATGCCTTATTGAATTGAAATAGATTTATTACCGTACAACAAAATATTCCTACTATATTTATTTTGCTTTTGTATTCATTTCATAGTTTATTGAAAAAAAGATTCCTTTTGCATCCAAAGCATTGGAGGAAGTTGCATTCTTCCTAGCAACCATAACATTTTCCTTTGCCATAGCAGTTCCATTTCCTCTTAGCATCAAATGTGTTATATGGGTAGTCTATATCATGTTGTTGATCATTATTTCCATCGGCAATTGCCTCTCGGTGATTGTATTTGTTATTTTCAAATGTAATATTCCTCTTGTTGAAATTTAGTGTGATCAGAGTGAAACTATCATAGCTTTCACGACCTTAAGTTGTATTAAATATCAACAAAATCAAAATGTATGTCAATTAGAAAAGTACTTACGAATAAGAATCTTGATTTATTAGCGAGAAAATGTTAATATGGCATACCAAAGAAGTCACAAGTGAGTTCTGTCAAACACAATTAAAGGAGGTGAGAAATCGAAGAAGAAATTAAACAAAACTGGAAAAGGAACTTCATTATTAGGAAATCTCTAAAATATTGTGCATACTAGACCGAAAGCAAATACAAAAAAACAAACAAGCACATTTACGTGGTTTCCCAAATCAAGTATGTTCACGGAGACAACAAATTATATATTATTGGAGGAATGATAGAAGTCTTTTCAACCTAGTACAATCCCAAAAACCAGTGTTTCATTGAATATGCCCTGCAATAGCAATCAATAAACGCCAACAAAAATATCTAGCGGTATATATCGAGGAAATTATATTGAAAAAAAATGAATGAAAAAAGAGCCAAAAAGTATAATGACGTGTCATTTTACATACAAAATTACTGATAAATTTAAATTTATCGATTAAATTCATCAGTAAATATGTCTATAGTATTTAATTTATAACTTGACAAGTGACCCTACTATCTCCCTTCTCCATTTCTTCTTGTTCTACTTCCTCTATTTTTCTCTGTAACAAACACAGTAACCCCCCTCTGTTCACTTATCAATAATTGCATAAATGTTGATATCAATAATTGCATAAATGTTGATAGCTATTTTTAATTGCATCCATTTTTTAAATGTTGATAGCATCTGCTGGATCAGGACTGACCAATGACCATTCTTTCCTTTCCTTTCTCTATATAAACCTGCCTATAAGTCTCACTTTCCTCGCACATTTTCACTCTTGACTCTTCCCATCTCAACAATACTTCACACTTCTCTTTCATCACCATGGTTCTCTCGAAGATAGCATCGGAGTCTGATGTCTCCGTTCACTCAACCTTCTAGTAGCTACATCAATCCCCACATTTTTCTCTCTTATAACTACCTTCTTCATACATTTTGTTACTAGCTACACTTTCCATAATCCAAACCCCATCAAAACAAACAAGAAGCTTGAACATGCATGACACAATGGTAAAAGAAGAGTAAATATATGCATCATATTAAAAATTTTGTTCCTCAGCCTAAGATCCTGAACATGCATGACACAATGGCATCTTCTACAATGCATTTAAAAATTTTCAAATCTTACCATGCCTTTTCAAGCATGTCCCCTTCTTTCCAAAATGATATTTATTCTTTCACAAAAGTTGTGATGTTCTGTAGAAAACTTATTAGAGAACTCCATATGATGTGGTTCTGGACAATAATATGGTTTTATCATAGTTATAAAACTTGACTTAACTAATTTGGAGGTATGAACCTTGGCTCGAGAAAAATAATGTTTTTTATATGTTTTTTAATGATTTTAATGTGATGATTTTATAAATAAAAAAATTATTTTAATATATTTTAAATTAAAAATAATTTTAAAAAATATATTCCATCACATTACTAAATATACATTTAAATTAGAAAAATTAGTAATGCCAATGGTTGTTGTTGGAAGAGGAACTCTAAATTGATTATTATCGCAAATTTGATATATGATATTTTTAGCCTTTAATCATCATTTATATATAAAAGTACTTGATCATGTGTTTGTGAATCTCAAAACACATTCTCCAATTAGAAATGCCTTTAAAAGAATTGATTTTTATTTTTATTTTTTTTCTTTAAATTAATATTTTTTTTTGGTGTTTTTAGATAAATTTGATGCACTGAGATAAAAAATTATTTTTTAAAAATAAAAAATATATTATTTTCATATACTTTTAAATAAAAAATATTTTAAAAAATAAAAGTAATTATCTGGATTATGACACCTGATCTTATAAATTATTGGGTAGAAGTAGAACACACATTTAAAAATTATTAGGAGTTCTCCAACTGGGATTCACTTCTTTCTAAGTTTTTTTTTCTTGAAAATACCTTAAGGTTGTTATTAATTAAATCTTTCATTGTCTAAGCGCTAATTATGGATTAATTGCAATCCTTAGGAGTTTGTTTTTGCTTGACGGTGCAGTTTTGTTTGGTTATATGGTGAGGTATGTTTAAAATTATAAATTATTTTAATTATAATTTTAAAAGTGTTTGTTGCAGTTCCGTTTGGTTGTATAGTAAGCTATGTTTGAAACTATAATTTATTTTAATTATAATTTTAAAGGTGTTTAATTAATTGATATATATATATATAGTTTAACATTGATTTCACTGGAAACTTTTTTAAAAAATATTTGTTATAAAAAATATAATTTATAACTTTTTTAAATTTATATTTTCAAACCACAACTACAAAAACTATCGTAATAATAAACATAACTTATAAATGTGGAAAAAATAATTGTTTTTGTTCTTCAAAAACAAAAAAAAAAACTTATTTTTTTTTTTAAATTAAATTTTTTTCAGTCCGTTAAAAACCCATAACCATTTCAATATCACAAAATATTGATACGGGCCTTCAGGCTTTTATGGGATATATTTATGGGCTAAGAATGGATTTGATTGGACTATACCATGGAGTAGGCCTACATAGGTTTTATGTTGGGCCTGTATTTCAAGCTTTGATGGGGTATGTTTATAGGCTAAGAATAGATTTAATTGGACAACTTGATGGAGTGAGCCTACATAGGCTTTATGTTGGGCCTCTGTCTCTGACTTGGATTTGATGGAGTGGGCCTAAAATTTGATCGGACAATTTGATCGCGATACCAGGTCGTCAATAACAAGAGGACAGGCTGGCAATTTCTGGGAGGGCAAAGATCTTGTTGTTTCCATGCATGACCAACTCCTGACGTCACTGAAGCAGGTAAATGCTTTTCAGCCGTGTCCGCCTAAAAGTGTCTTCCTCTCAGAATAAATATCACACACAATCGAATTGCAACTGCTTCACTTGTTATCTTCTCTACTTCCTACAACTCTCTTACTGTTTCTTTGTTTTCTTCTTGTTGGTGCTCAGGAGAGATCAAGATTGGTGCAATCAAGATGAAGATCGTGGGTAAGAAATTTTATACTACTTTCTATCTGAATTTCTTATCTCATGACCCAACCTGATGATATTAAGTCTGATTTATTCAGGTTTATTATGGAAGTTTTGTTGATAATTAAATTTCCAAGTATTTATTTCATGTAAGTGTATCTATGTGACAGTTAAGTCTTATTTATTTTATCATTTCTCTCTTTGGGTTGCAGAATCTCTGTTCCAACTCTGGTCCAAAATATATATTTTTTTAAAAAGGACAAAACCCCGGGTAAGAAATTACAATCTCCTCTTACCATCAGCGAAACAATGTTCTTGATGCGAAGCCGGACTTGGGAACGGAATTAAGGAAGACACTCCTGAATTTATGCTTCACAGCAGCAATTCAAATCACAATTCAGTACGGACAGGTTGCTGAATATGAAACCCGCTACCCCTTCATTTTGATCTCCTTAGCTATAGGAGCTATCTTTGCTTCTCTATTCGTCTCACCGCTTACTGGAAAAAAGATTCCGAATGCATCCTAGGTGCTGGAGAAAGTTGCGTTCTTCCTAGCGACCACAACGTTTTTCTTCGCCATAGCAACTCCATTCCCTCTTGGCATCAAATGTGCTATATGGGCAGTCTATATCATGTCGTTGATCACTATTGCTTTCTGCACTTGCCTTTCGGTGGTTGTATTCGGTATTCTGAAATGCAATATTCCTCATGTTGAAATTTAGTAAGAACATATGTAAATTAGAAAACTTCTTCCGAATAGGAATCTTGATTTATTAGCGAGAAAGTGTTAGTATTGCATACCAAAGGAGCCACAAGGAAGTTCTGTCAAACACAATTGGAGGAGGTAAGTAGTTGAAGACGAAATTAAATAAAACTGGAAAAGGAATTAACTTCACTATAAGGAAATCAAAAAATGGCGTTGACGACTTCAATTCTCGAGGAACATTTGATAGGATCCATTGAACACAACTTCAATATCAAGTCGAAAGTTGAAAACAAACTATGTTTGTTCAAATACATGGACTTGTTAAGTTTTGAAGGCGACAGATAGTTCTTGTTCAGCCTTTTTATTTCTTTCCTGCACAATATTTTGCTAGGTGTCTGCGAAGATTTGTAGTTCCCCTTCTGCTTTCCCCTCGATATCTATTACTGGAACTTTTGCATTTGGCCCATATTTCTCCATTTTCTCTAACTTCTTCAAAGTATTGCCGCACCTCAGATGTCCTCCTTCGTTTGTTTCTACCGCTTGCATTCAAACGAGAACTATCCGTGCCGCCGTCCTCGTTATCAGGGTTTGGAGCTGCTGGTACAAATGCAAAATCTTGTTCCTCGACTTCCTGTCAGTTGATAGCCAAGTATTAAGACATTGACCTCATGAAAACCAATCAGCGCTGAAAGAACGGCAAATGTAAGGTGTTGAGCACCTACCTGGTCAGGAGCCTCCTGTACTTCCTCCCCATCACTTGTTGGGTTAGAAATATTGCATAATTCCATGAGTTCACTGGAATTTAAATTGTAATAGTTGTCTGAAATAGCTGCTGGTCTGCCTTTACTTGTCCCGCCAGAATCATAGACTCTTCGCTTTCCTTTTATGGCATCCCTCACGGGGTCGAGTGTTGTAAAATCACGAAAGCAGAAGAAGGGAGCAAATGGGTAGACTGTTTCGGGAAGCCGATCCGTGCCGGAAGGTATTAACGGTGTAAGATTTCGAGGATACAGTTTATAGAGTCGCCGAACCAGAACTTCAACATAGTATTTGATGATGATTTCGTTGCTCTTGATAAGGATTCGTTGGCAGCTATGATCTCCTACAAGAGCAAATCTGCACCGTTCAGGTTACCCCCTTCAATGGCCTTAGCACAATCCACCAATTTGTTGAGAGGTGAAGTGTCCATTTTTGTTTTTTGTTTTTTACACAAAGTGAGCTATGAGTTGAATGATCCCTTCCAAGTTTGATGTTATAATAAGCTCCTAATCAAACTCTTGCAAGCAACTCTAACAGTTGGTTGAGAAGAAGACTCAATTACGAATCAAACATGTGGAGACGAACAGACTTGGTGCATCTATATGGATATGAGAGAGAGTGAGAGAGAGAGAGAGAGTTTGTGCAGATGACGTGCCTGCAAGTGGAGAGAGGGAGTAGCAACTGGCGAGTCATCAGAAATGATTAGTTAGTTAACCCGCGCTTTAATTACTACTAATCAAAGTCTTGACTTAAAAAAATAAATGTATAAGCGTTGTCAACAAGGTTATTTAATACATAAAAAAAATTAAATCTAGAGGTCAAGAGAATCAATGATAGAGAGATAACTTGGAGCGGGATTTAGGATTTTTCAAAGCAAAAAACAAGATTATTTGGAGGGCTCGCTTCTTTTTTGATTTCCTGGTAACTTCCTCCCAATTTCCTTTCTATTCTTCGCTCTATTTTTCTTTCATTCACATTTACGTAGTATCGGATATGGTCGATTCAACTCAGGAAAAGATTTAAGTTGTGGCCAGGATGGATCTAATTAGCACGCAGCCTCAAGAGCTATCAATGTTGTCGGTGCGTTGAGTATGATTAAAGTTGTCGGCAGGATGGATCTAATTAGCACGCAACCATCTCCTTGTCAGCACTTGAAGCTGGTTCTAGTATGGCTTTCGATTCTCCAGTTTCCTGTCAAGAGACATCCAAGAAAGACATTTAATATACTACATCCAGGTTTATTCTGGGCTCAGTTATAGGATAAATTTGCTGCTAAGAAAGGCACCTTTTCATCCGTCTCATATATTTCCGCTAAGATTTCCATCCCATGATATTATTTGGATTTGAACCATCAACATTTGAAGCTGATGGAGAGCTTCCAGAATTGGGCATCAGTGTGATATCAGACATCTCAGCCGCGGTAACATCAGAGACAACATCAGCCACATTTAAATCCACTCCACAAACTATCCATGAATTCCTACAGCTCTTCTGCAAGGTTGATAGTATTTTGTTCGGCACCATGAAGGCCAAACTCCCATGCTTCATAAACAAATGGATAATCAGCTGGATCGAGTTCAGACACATCGGGGAGAAAATAAATATCTGATAGAAGGGCTTTTCCAGCAACACCTGGCCCTTGCTCAAGATCAAATTCTGTTGCTCCTATATCATTGACGCGGCAAGCAGTATCCTCTACAATCACAAGCTGAACTAACTCCTATTAAAAAAGTGTGTTTCCCAATACTTATTAGGTTGAGTACACGACTGAAATGTAAGAGTTTAGATTAATAATTATAATATCCATTACATCTCATTAAATATAAACAAATAACTCATGTTTATATTAATTATATATAATGATACAAGCAATAAAATAATATTATTTTACTACTATAAAATTGTATCTCTACCTCTCATATGTTGTATGAAGCATATCAAGTCAGGTAAAATAAGAATGGAATATACAAAAAGGGGTTTGAAATCTTATACTTTAAAACAAAAAACACATTCTCTCTTCTTCCTCCTTAATTCTACATTTTCCTCCCTTCCTTTTCTCTATCTTCATAAAAGCTCATTAATGTTTTTGTTACATAAAAATATCTGGTATAGACTTGACCCTCGGAGGGTCCCCCACTAACACCCTTAGAGAACCTTGTGCAAGTATTTATTCAGGAAAAAATTAACACCCCTGATGAGATCTATTAAAGAAGAAGTCAGTGCAATCGCATACTGTGAATAATGTGCAAGGATCTTTAGAAATAATTTATCCCATAATATTCCTAGTGATTTTTTATAGACTGCCCATATAGCACATTTGATGCCAAGAGTGAATGGAGTTGCTATGGCGAAGAAAAACGCTGTGGCCGCTTGGAAGAAGGCGACTTTCTCCAAGACTTTGGATGCAGTCTCGGAATCTTTTTTCCAGTAAACTGTTAAACGAATAGAGAAGCAAAAATAGCTGCTATAGCTAAGGAAATCAAAATGATGGGGGGTAGTGGGTTTCAGATTTAGCAAACATGCAGCCACTTTTTAAATCTATAGAAAGTGGTGGAACAGATTCAGCAAACATGCTATAACTGTTCACGCTCATCATGCCCTGGTCTTCCCATCATTATCTAAATAATTTAGAAACAATTTAGAAGCATAATATTCTTCGGGAAAAAAAGGAACAAAATGATTGTTGTGTTTGATAATAACCTAATGAAAATAATTGTATGAGACATTAAATGAAAAATATAACGAATTGAGATTCAATAAAAATATTATTTTTCTATTAAATGAAAGAAAAGTTAACACTTTCCATATGAGAAAAAAAAAAAACAATGGTCCCTAAAATTTATTTTCATTTAAAAAATTCATCCAAATTATATTTTTATTGAGTATAAAATCATCTTTTTACCCAAAAACAATTATCCTAAATATATGATGGAAGGATTAAAACGACAAAAATAACAAATGGGGAGAGCGGTAAGTAAAGGGGAGGAGGGATCAAAGGTAATTGGACTTAAATGCGCGCAGTTTTACCTTAACTTGCTAAGCCGGCTTGGTTTACTCAAAATTTGAAACTTGAATAGAAATTGATGTGGACATCAAGAGATCTCAGTAAAGCATACTATATATATCACTCTGATTTTTTTAAAATATAACTTCCGTTGCTATTAATTTTTTCAATAATAAAGGATGCATTTGAATTAATTTATACATTAATCGAGACTAGGCTTTCTTACAAAATAATATTATGTAAATAAGTTCTTTTCCCTTGCTACTAATTTTCGGAACCATAATATGCTGCGTTTTGATCAAGAAAATGTTGTATTTATCAGCTTATTGGAGCTCCTTCGTTAGTCCTTTGTATTTAAGGATGTATTTTTATCTTTAATATTTTCTTTTTAAAGTGCCATACTTCTGTTATCAATTCTTCTCAATACGCATACATGCAGCCACTTTTTAATCAGGGTGTTTTATTAGTAGGATATTAATAGTAGTGCTCTTCCTAGAAAGTGTTATAATTAGATAAAATAAATCAACTCACTCGATCTTCAATGTATTATGCATTCACCATCTTAATTATATTCACCAAAAAAAAAACAAGAAAAAAGTATTGTCAACGTCTAAAATCTTGACGAAGAAATAACAAGCTATCATATGCAAAAAAATGAAAATGCCTAGACAGAGAGACCTGGAGAGTTTAAAGCAAAAATTAAAAAGAAATGTACTAAAAAGTAATCGAGCTGAATTGATTGTTGACACAGTTCTGCTTTTATTGATATTAATACAACGTAGTGCAATGGAAGTAATGACAGTTAACTGACAAATTTTGCATTTCAGAACCACCTAGAGCTACTTGGCTATCAACTGACAGGAAGTCGAGGAACAAGATTTTGCATTTGTACCAGCAGCTCCAAACCCTGATAACGAGGACGGCGGCACGGATAGTTCTCGTTTGAATGCAAGCGGTAGAAACAAACGAAGGAGGACATCTGAGGTGCGGCAATACTTTGAAGAAGTTAGAGAAAATGGAGAAATATGGGCCAAATGCAAAAGTTCCAGTAATAGATATCGAGGGGAAAGCAGAAGGGGAACTACAAATCTTCGCAGACACCTAGCAAAATATTGTGCAGGAAAGAAATAAAAAGGCTGAACAAGAACTATCTGTCGCCTTCAAAACTTAACAAGTCCATGTATTTGAACAAACATAGTTTGTTTTCAACTTTCGACTTGATATTGAAGTTGTGTTCAATGGATCCTATCAAATGTTCCTCGAGAATTGAAGTCGTCAACGCCATTTTTTGATTTCCTTATAGTGAAGTTAATTCCTTTTCCAGTTTTATTTAATTTCGTCTTCAACTACTTACCTCCTCCAATTGTGTTTGACAGAACTTCCTTGTGGCTCCTTTGGTATGCAATACTAACACTTTCTCGCTAATAAATCAAGATTCCTATTCGGAAGAAGTTTTCTAATTTACATATGTTCTTACTAAATTTCAACATGAGGAATATTGCATTTCAGAATACCGAATACAACCACCGAAAGGCAAGTGCAGAAAGCAATAGTGATCAACGACATGATATAGACTGCCCATATAGCACATTTGATGCCAAGAGGGAATGGAGTTGCTATGGCGAAGAAAAACGTTGTGGTCGCTAGGAAGAACGCAACTTTCTCCAGCACCTAGGATGCATTCGGAATCTTTTTTCCAGTAAGCGGTGAGACGAATAGAGAAGCAAAGATAGCTCCTATAGCTAAGGAGATCAAAATGAAGGGGTAGCGGGTTTCATATTCAGCAACCTGTCCGTACTGAATTGTGATTTGAATTGCTGCTGTGAAGCATAAATTCAGGAGTGTCTTCCTTAATTCCGTTCCCAAGTCCGGCTTCGCATCAAGAACATTGTTTCGCTGATGGTAAGAGGAGATTGTAATTTCTTACCCGGGGTTTTGTCCTTTTTAAAAAAATATATATTTTGGACCAGAGTTGGAACAGAGATTCTGCAACCCAAAGAGAGAAATGATAAAATAAATAGGACTTAACTGTCACATAGATACACTTACATGAAATAAATACTTGGAAATTTAATTATCAACAAAACTTCCATAATAAACCTGAATAAATCAGACTTAATACCATCAGGTTGGGTCATGAGATAAGAAATTCAGATAGAAAGTAGTATAAAATTTCTTACCCACGATCTTCATCTTGATTGCACCAATCTTGATCTCTCCTGAGCACTTGCAATTCGATTGTGTGTGATATTTATTCTGAGAGGAAGACACTTTTAGGCGGACACGGCTGAAAAGCATTTACCTGCTTCAGTGACGTCAGGAGTTGGTCATGCATGGAAACAAAAAGATCATTGCGCTCTCAGAAATTGCCAACCTGTCCTCTTATTATCGACGACCTGGAATCGCAATCAAATTGTCCAATCAAATTGTAGGCCCACTCCATCAAATCTAAGTCAGAGACAGAGGCCCAACATAAAGCCTATGTAGGCTCACTTCATCAAATTGTCCAATTAAATCCATTCTTAGTCCATAAATATACTCCATCAAAGCTTGAAACACAGGCCAACATAAAACCTATATAGTTATAAATTATATTTTTTATAACAAATATTTAAAAAAAAAGTGTGAAATCAATGTTAAAATATATATATATATATATCAATTAATTAAACACTTTTAAAATTATAATTAAAATAAACTATAGTTTCAAACATATCTCATCATGCAACCAAACGGAACTACAACGTCAAGCAAAAACAAACTCCTATGGATTGCAATTAATCCATAATCGATGCTTAGATAATGAAAGATTTAATTAATAACAACCTTAAGGTTTTTTCGAGAAAAAAACACTTAGAAAGAAGTGAATCCCAGTTGGGATAACTCGTAATAATTTTAAAATGTGTGTTCTACTTCTACCCAATAATTTATGTAAGATAAGGTGTTATAATTCATATAATTGCTGTTACTTTTTAAAATATTTTTTAAAAAAATATATAAAAATAATATATTTTTTATTTTTTAAAAATTATTTTTTACCTCAGTGCATCAAAATCATCTAAAAACACATAAAAAAATATTAATTTAAAAC